CTACACAAGGTTTCTCTCAGAAAATTTCATGGCCCAGTCATAACAGAGATGGACAAGTGATTATAGATTCCCATGGTTTATTTTTGACAGTTTTCTGTCTTTTATACTGCTCAGCTTTTGGAGGAGAAGAGGCTATGCCCATAAACCTGAGAGCATATTTTGGCCTTCATGTTGTTGAAAATGGACATCTAAATCATTTATGGATTTCTCAAAATGCCAAGTGGGTACAGTACACATCCAGTGAACAGAGAAGAGAGAAGGTAAATTATCATTTATTGTGTGTCAATACCCTACTCCAGGCAGAAACCAGGTGGGTCATTGTTGCGTTCTGTTTGCTTTCTGTTTGACTCAATAATGTGTTTAATTTGAGGTCGGAAAAGAGGGATAGCTTCCTGCCAAAAAAGAAAAGCTCGTTGTTGTAAAACAAAGAATGAAGCATCTTTCCTAAAAACAAAATGAAACACGGTTTATCCCAAATCAGAAACAAAATGAAACGCGGTTTATCCCAAATCAACATTCACTGAATTACCCTTAATATACTATCCTGTCTATGTTTAGTTTTGCCAAAATTCAACACTGACACGAAATACCCAAACGTTTCTAAAGAAATTGATGCCAGAATTTAAATGCACAAAGTAAAAATAAATTCCAGTTAATTTTGACATTATCCAAAGTCACTGTGTGTCAATTTACCTCTTCAGTCTGCCACAGCTTCAGTTAGCATGTATCCTAGTTAGAGGCAGGTATAAGAGCGAAACACTTTGTGGGGTGGGTGGAGAGAAGGTTCAGTTGCTAAAAGCAGGCACTGCTTTGTAGAGGACTTGGGTTCTGTGCCCAGCACCCACATGGTGGCTCACAACTATCCATGACTTGAGTTCCAGGGAATCTGATGTCTTCTACTGGCCTCTGTGGGTACAAGAGATGTATGTGGGGAATTTACATGCATACAGGCAAAACATTCCTACCCATAACATAAAATAAATAAAAAAACTTTTAAACACTAACCTTAAAAAACATTTTTAAAACTTAATAAATTTAAGCTACCTTTTAAGTACTTCACAGCTTACAGAGCTTTTGGATCTTAAAATAAGTTAATAAATCCCTCCCTGAAATCAACAATACCAATCAATATATAGGTTTCTTGCTGCCTGATAATGCCAAGCAGTCTGCAAAACACTTAGACATTAAGTGGTTAGCCCTGACTCCATTTACCACAAGAAAACAGGTTCAGGGAAGCTAGAGAACACACCTAAGGTCAGGAGCGGCCCGGGTTTTTAAGGCATTCTCCTGTTCTTCCCAAACACACAGAGGTTTCTTGGTACAGACCCGTGCTTCCCTTTCACAGTCAGAAGAGTCCTGACCTGTACAGAAAGGTTTTTGTTTTGTTTCGGTTTGGTTTTGCTTTTTTATTAGTTCATTGTTTTTTTTTTTCCCAGTTTTTCCCTAGATGCCTGGTTTATTAAAATCACTTTGAAGTCGTCAGCACCTTCAAGTGTCCTAGAAAGAGATCGTTTTATTTGGTTTTGTATACATTCACATTCATAACTAGCTCGTGCTTACTAAACTGTATTCAGAAAGATGAGATGGCTGACAGGAAGGCTTGCTCTCTACTGGGTGCCGCGGCGGGAAGGATTTTGTTTGGTTCATTGACAGCTACTGTGGCTTGCTTGCTTGTTTGTTTTGTTCTGTTACAGATGTGCCCTGGCATTTTCTTCCATTTTCAGCACCGCAGCAGAAGTAAACAAGGACTTCAGCGCCGTCTATGTCGCTATCCATTGATCAACATCTCATCGACTTTCTCTTTTCCTTTCTCTCCACATAACAAATTTTTGTGTCTTTTGAAGGTTGGATACCTAATCTCAAAGCAGACAGATAAATTTGCCAGGAAGAAACCCAGATATTAAGTGAGAGGGAAAGCCTAGTCCTAGGGGATTTCAAGATTCAACAAAGGCCCAAATTACTGCTCTAAAAAGCCCCATCTCTGATTTGCTAAAATTCACTTGCAAGAGTGTTAAAACTCATTTCTCAGACTTCACAGACAGAAGTGAGGACCAATCCTGCAAGCTGGCTGTGCGCTAGATCTCTCAATTATTTCATCCATGGGAACGTAAACAATGGGCCAATATGGTGCCTTATTCTTCTGTAACGACCCTTATCATGCAGATCCAACCCTACAGCTGCATCATAATTAGATCCTCTAAATAAACAATCTGCTTGGGTGTCCACAGGTCAGAGCCTGTGCTGGGAAGACTTGTCAAAAATAGAAAAAAAAAAATTCTGAAAGAAAAATTAATCGATTCAGTTGCGCTCAGGGTCACGCTGAAGTTCAAATGTCAGCGAATTAAGTTTTGAAATTCTCTAGCTGCTGATTTCTGGATTATCCTTATATATTAACAGTGAAGAAAAGTTTTTCTTAAAAGTGAAGGAAAGGAAGACCCTGGAAGGTAAATAATTGAGCTCAGACTTTTAGTTAGTTAAGCTTAGTTATCTAAAATGACAATATGGTTACAGCGTTCAAAAGCAGCCAAACGGTGGTCTATAGCTTGAATCCCAGCACTTGGGAGGCAGAGGCAGGCGGATCTCTGTGAGTTTGAAGCCAGCCTAGTATACAGAGTTCCAGGACAGTCAGAGATACCCAGAGATACCCTGTCTTGAGAAACCGAGAGAGAGAGAGAGAGAGAGAGAGAGAGAGAGAGAAGGAGAAAAAGAAGATTCAAAATGAAAAAGATACAAGAGATAGTAGGCTTATCTCTATAATTTACATTTACCAACTACAGTCCCAATTTGCCACATAAGGCATTTTCTATCAAGTTCTCATTCATCCATCTAAGCATGTGCTTGTTGCAAACACAAGCAAAATGCACATTTTTTTTCTTTTCCCAAATTGCAAAATTGGTATTTTCTGGACAGACACAAAGAGCTCATCATGTATAGATTAAGAGCACAGATTATCTATCCATAGTTAGCACCTAGCATGCGAATGAATATTCATAGGCTGCATATTCTATATATAATTAATATAATGCCCCAAGTGCAGTGTAATTTACCATTTCTTCTACATTTTTCTTAACAATAGATCCATCTGGGAGATTGTTCCCATATCGGTCCAAAAAGGATTCCTTATTTGTTTTTGTGGCTGTCCACTAAAGTATTCTACTGTTGTGCGGTACCTGCATCTGCTTGATCCTCTCCCTGTTAACAGCTGTTGGGCCATGTTAAACGTTTGATCATTCTGAATAAAGGTACAATGGCTAAGTTTATGTGTATGTGACCTATCCCATGTGGGAAGCTTTAGAAGTGGGAAACACTAGATCATGTGTAATCTGACAGAAACTGCAGCTTATCTACCATGGGTAGTGCCTCCTGACCTCCTCACCGTTCGTGTAAGTAAGCACCAAGGTTCTTGTCCCATTTACACTGTCTGGAAGAAGTCGCTTTTCGTGGCCATGATGACTCAGCTGTCCTCTGAAAAGAACTCTAGGCCTTAGGATTCACTCTGAGTTTAAATTTGAGAGTGGTTGTTTGACAAGGAAAAGAAGTCTCTTTGGCTAACGTTTTCAGGGGCTTCACAGCCCAAGCTGGCCCTGCACACCTGGCAGAGGCCTCTGATAGCGTCCAAGCATGGTGGGGTAGCATCGTGTGTCAGGAACACACTTGAGAGCAGTGGGCAGTGTGCAAAGGGAATCGGAGAGGAAGAGATGAAAAAAGAGAGAGCCCGTGAAGGAAACTGAGATTTCACGAGAACAGCCGTGATATGAACTAATCCCATCCAAACCATTCAAGAAAGACGTCAGCTTCCCGCAGTAACCATATGGGCCTGACTCACTTTCCACAGAAAACCATTAATGCCTCTTCAGGACCAGTCATCAGCTCCTAAAGTTTTCATCCCAGCCACACCGCTGCCTTGGAGACCAAGCTTCCAGCTGATGACAGTCTGAGGGACAACCTAGAACCAAGTCACACTCGTCTGTTCAGAACTCGCCATCTTATCTTCTGGCTGGCCCCAGGCAGCACGAAACTCTCACATTCTAACACACGAATTACCTGTCACTAACGTTTTAAACGACTGTTTACATTGTGTCTTCAGCGAGACTGCAGGCCCCTTGAAGCCGGGGAGTGTTTCTTCACAATTCCCAGCACAATGTAATTGTGAGTCACTGAGATATTAGCAGAGGAAGTGGAAGATTGATTTCTGAAGCTAAATGTTACTTTGTATATCTCAGCTTTGGGGTAGGTTGACCCTGAGATTGCCAAAACAGGAACTGGAGGTGGAAGGAACCATTCAGAGAAAAGACATTAATCCACATGTTGTTGGCACATGATCTGATCACGGAGCCTTCTGCTGGTAAACCCGTTGATTGTTCCGAGACTGACATAGACGGTGGGTCATTATTACTATAAAGATATAGATCTTCCTCTAAAAACATCCAGAGTCTGTCCTCTGTTATTAGGAACAGTCACCATGTGTTGAGAGCATCTGATTTCAAGAAACTATCCAAGGAGCCAAAGCTTCTTCAAGCAGAATTGTGAGGAAGTGGCCAAGAGAGACAAGGCACTCCAAGAGTCACACTTTCTTTAGTGGTGCGTGTGGTGGTGCTTGTCTATAAAGACTGTAGACGTTCTTATGGTTCCAGAGAAGCCTTGGGTCCTAGTCCTGAACTTTGCTTAGTTCTAGATTCCTCGCTTCCTTTACAGAACCTGAAGACTCAAGGGCGTGCAGCTTCGCGGTGTGATGCCAGCGCACACCTGAGCGTGCTCTCCAAGCAAAGCCCCTTCACTTCCCTGGTTCTCCCTTCATTCCCTGGTTCTGGGGGTTCCACTTTATCCTCCCACCCCACCCCAGGTCTCCAGTTTGGATGGAAGACTTTTGACTGATAACATGCCACGTAAGCATAAAAGTTGTGTGTGTATGTGTGGGAAATAAAGACAGGCTCTCAGATATTCAAAGTGACTCCTTCCCACTGGAGGTTAAACTGGGAATGGTTTAAGAAACAAAAATGTTTAATAAATAAGAATATTTTATTAAATTAATGCAACACAATGACAATTAGATGCAAAATAAAATTTACATTTAGGGCAATCCACAACACAAAAGTATAAAGTATAAATTTACATTTAGGGCGATCCACAACACAAAAGTATAAAGTGCAGTTACAATCCAACGCCGTGAGACGGTGTTAAGATTTCAAATAAAGTGAGTAAGTGGAGTCTCGCTCGACTATATATTTTCTTAAACTTCATACAAACAGAACATTGTCATGAGAATCATCCTGCAAATAAACGTGTGAACAGGTAACAGAAGAGTTCCCTTGGGGGTTCTGATTCATCAGTCTTACCTCTGAGAGAGGATTTCACTATGTTGCCCTAGCTGGCTTGGACTCTATGTAGACCAGGCTGGCCTCAACTCACAGAGATCTGCCTGCCTCTCCTCCCGAAGGCTGGGATTAGAGACTTGTATGCACCACCGCACCTGGCCTGTTTCTTCAGCCCTGACATGGGACTAAGGAGGACTGGAAGAAAGCTCTGGGCTCTTTCTCCCCTCCTCCCCCAAGAAAACATTATCTTTGAGGCCCCTGTGGCAATGAGAGGCAGTGACCTTCAAGGGTTCAGGCAGAGCTAAGGGGCTTTTCCTGAAACAAGGGTAGGTCCAGGGCAACCAGCAGGAGGAGCAATGCTGGGATTTCCAGGGAGAACCTGTAATGAGCAAGCGGAGCATCTGTGTTTAAGAAAAGAAGCAGAGGGAAAACAGCAATGCCAGCCCTGCTCCAGATCTGCATCTCTCTGAGTGACGGAGAAGGCTACCGACTCCTTGGTGTCGGGTTGATTCAGTGCACCCTGGGGACTCATGGCCTCCCTTTGAGCAGACACAAAATAAACCAAACACAAACTCAGTCAGCAAGTAAGTAAGTGCTCTATAAATGGTATTTTACAGGTAGGGAGAGCAGACACAGTGCCTGGCCTAAGCAGTATGGAAGGATGGGAAGGAAAACCCTAGAAAGGAGGCAGTTCCCTTCTTGGATCTTTAAGTAGGTTCCAGCAGCTGCATAAGGATCAGTACATTAAATAAAAAGGGCAAATATAGCAAATACACAGTGAGCTACTATTTAGGAATTAGAAAAATATAGGTACTCTAACATATATGTCTACCTATTACCCGTCTTTGGGAAAATATATGTGCAAAGAACAACACCAGTTGCTTCTGGGAAGGGGTTAGCAGGGCTAGGGTGATGGAATAGAGTTTTATTTTGTCTTTGGGACCGTTCTGAGTCAGCACCCTGTTGATATGTATTTGGATTGTATGTGTGTTCATGTAAATGTATGGTACATGTGTGTGTGCATGTGTGGTGCATGCGTGTGCATGTGTGTTGCATGTGTGTGTGCAGGCATCATTTCTCAGGCACTGTCTACATCATTTTTTGAGGTATCAGCTCTCATAAGCCTGGCGCTTATCAAGCAGGCTAGATAGGCTAGCCAATGAGAGCTAAGGATCTGCCTGTCTCTGCCTCCCTGGTGCTGGGATGAAACGCATGCAGACATACCCAGCTGTTTTTGGATGTGGGTTCTGGGGGACAAACTTGAGGTTTTATACCTTGTGAGGAAAGTGTTTTACAACTGAGCTGTCTCCCAACCCTCAATATCATTTAGATAGAAAAAGAAAAAAGAATTTTTAAGCAATGCTAGATATTACAAGGAGGATGTGAGATTGTATGGCGAAAGTAACAAATCATATGTAAATCCAATGCTAGACAAGGAACTCAAGAGTTACTTCCAGAGTCTTTTAAATATAGACTCCTTGTTAATGAACATTGCTTTGAGTATTGAACTTAAGCATATGCATATCCAACCAGTACCCTGGCTTGCATCTCTATGCTCAGGGCCAGCATGGTACACAAGGCTGTGTGAAATCAATGCTACTTAAGCAGTTTTTAAATTCATTTCTTAGCTACAAACTGTATCCTGAAAGGACAGTGGCTGAAGGACAGAAATCTGATAGCTGTTATTCTGTGGGCAAGTTACTTAATTGCTCAGCTTCTTGGGCTAGGAAGGGAATATAACAGAGGTTACCCTGAGGGTTGTTGCTATGGAGATGAAATGAGACTGTTGCATGCAGTATCAGACACTTGTAAAGCTGACACTTCAACGGAACAATTGCTACCACAGAGCCTCAAGGACTGAGAATAAAGATGATTCAAGTCGAATAGCAAGAGCCCTGTGGAACCAAGCATGTGTTCTCCGTGTGTCCCGCTCACACCAGCAGTCACAGAGGACACCGAGCACCTCACACGTGCGCATGCTTTTCTGCCTGTGGACAGGATGATAATCAGCAGTAGAGTCTGGTGACGTATGTTAACATCTATTATGTCTTTAGAGCGCATCACGCACAGCCACACTCCCACAACAAGCATACACACACTCAAAATAAATAGGAACACTCATCCTTCAACACTTGTGACTCCGCCGCCCATCCAGGCACCGAGTGGAGGGAAAGGGCACTTCTGCAAGGGCCAGATGTTGAGCCAGGGGTTCTCAGCCCACTTTTCCAAGATGATTAATGGGTAACTTGCTTGTTGGTGTCTCCTGCAGAAATGTCCTTTGTCCCAGTTTCGCCTTTTTCTCTCTTCTCTTGTCTTCCCAGGTTCCCTTTTTCTCCGTTTTCTTCTCTTCCCAGGTTCCATTTCGAGTCCTTGGACCCACATCCCAAGGGCCCCTTCATTCACAGACCACAGACTGCCAATCCCGCCTCGAAGATCAGAGGATTCCGTGATGCTTACGTCTCCTCGAACTGTGTATCTGGAGAGGGACAATAGTATAGTCATCTCACAGGGGCAGGGAGTTTGCGGGGAAATGCATGAAGACATGCAAGACAAACAAATGGAATATTGCTAATCATATGATAAGGTTGTAATAAGACAGAGACAAGTCTGACAACACTTGCATGCTGAAGGATGACTAAACACCCTTGTTTGTCCGGGGTTGCCCTGGTTTTTAAAATGGAAAACCTGCTGGACTGAGAAACCCTCAAGCTGAGCAAGCTAGGCTGGTTCCTCGGGTAACTCAGCAGCATAAATGGTAGTGCACTCGAGGGAACCTGTCTGGGTCTGCTCAAGTTCATGAGCCAGCTTTAATCCTGCCTGGGCTCATTGGTACCCTTGGGTTCTAACCACAGTAGAGTGAATTAGAAAACTTAATATAGCTTATTTAAAAATTTAGGGCAGTGAGGGTTTTCTACTCCTATAAACATGGACACTAACAGCAGAATGAAATGGAGCACACAGGACGGGTCTGAAAGTTCATGGCGAGGCTGAGTGTTCCTGCCACCTTATTTTATATTCTCAGCTCTGGCGTTCTCTACTGTAAAATGGAGATGATTCTCATATTTATAAGAGTGCTTGAGGGGCGGGTGATGAAATGAAATACCATATCCCACACATGGAAGAGTTAACGGCTGACCGCACAGCAGAATCATTTGCTTAATTACACATTCATCTGACTCAGCACTCTCTCTGGTTGCAGGGCTACCAAGGTATCCGCAGCTTAGACAAAAGTGCCCCTCCCGTCCTGTTCCCAACTCTTTGCAGCCCTGGGCTGGGTTTTACTATGCAGGATCATCCCAGAATTTTCTCAGCTGTGGGAGTTGTGAGGCAGAGGAGCCCCCGGTCCTCACAAACAGGCTCCTTTGGAAGGAGGGGAGGTCATGACTAGTCGATTTCTCTTGTTATAATAGTCTTTTCTTCTTCCTGTTTATGTTGTTTGCTATGTGGTTCAGGAGGCTTGCAACTCACTATCTGCCTACAGAGTGCTGGAACTGCAGCCCTGAAGGACCAAACTGCATTGTCCTTCCGTTTACCCATCCCTTCTGTCACACTTACCGTTTTGGTGTTTTGACTTTGTGTCTTCAAAGCCACATTTCTCCACATCTAGAGTTTTCACTGAATGAGAAGAAATCGATCTTAATTCCATAGACCACAAAACAACGACCCAACCCACAGTGACTCAAGTTTCAACTCAAGGTTTTTATAAGGCACTACTCAGTCTTAATCGCCAGACTTTTAGTCCATAAGCTTCCTTATTCCAGGTACAAAACCCAAAAGCTAATTATTCAACAACTTAGGACAGATACTCTCTCTCTCTCTCTCTCTCTCTCTCTCTCCCCTCCCTTTCACCTTCCCTTCCACCCTCTCTGTCCTCTTTCTCTCTCTCTAGGGTTGTCTACTTTGTTTCCTGTCCTACCCTCAGAGCTGGCCGACACCCTGAACTACTCTATTATCTACTGAATCTCTACCACACTCATTCTCCATCAATCCTTTCCAGACCCAGTTTGGCAACAACCACTTCCTTGCGCAAGCCCAAGTCTAGTCCTAGTCCAGATGGGTCACTGAAACCTAATGTCACATCTTGGCCACCCTCTTGGTTCTGGTCAGGGCCTGTACTTTGGACACAGCTGGTTGCTACCCCCTCAGTTATATGGCTTTCCGCAGACACTCATCCTCCAAAGGACTGCAGGGGAATTCCTCTGAAGACTGAAGTTCATTTCCACATTTTACTTCCCTATTTGACTTCAGGCAAGTCCATACATCACTGGCTCTCTGGGTATGCACTTCAAAGTTTTCTCTAAGTCATCTTACAAGGGGATGTCACTATTTGAATGCACTCATTTTCCTAGATTTAAATCATTCTTATGGGTAAATGTTGAAATCAATATATGAAAATTATTTAAAACACTATGTCATATTGATTCCAGAAAGTTTGCAAAAAAAATGCTTTGTGGTAAAGATAGCAGTTTTAGACAGAAATGTTTCCCTACTTAGGGTACCCAGAACCCAGCTCAATAGGATGTTGCAAGGAATTCAACTTGAATTCAACTGAGACCAGTAGGCACGATGGGTCTCTTCAAAGTCTGTGGTCATTTGCTTGGAAAAAGAAACCTTACAGCTGTCTTCTTCAGCCTCCACTGCGACCCGCCCTACACCTCGCCTCTGCAATGTACACGGCAGTGCCGCCCGAAAGAACACAGTAGTTCTACCGTCAACCACTGAACGGTGGACGCCACAGGGCTGCCTCAAAAGCTAAATCTTTTAGCTTCCCTAAACCCCTGTCCAACTCACACCCCTCCAAAGTACAACACAGTTCAATGGCACACTCCCCGGGAGGAGATGCTGCGGAACGGCTGCGTGAGCAGGGCTGAAGGAAGACTCGGCTCACCAGAGTCACAGCTCAACCTTACTTTGTCTATCTGAAAGTGAAAGGCACAACCTTCAAGGTCAAGTGTTTCCCAGGAAGGCTCTGCTAGCCTGTTGGGTCAGGCAGCTCCCTGTGGTACGGGGCTGCCCTTATCAAGTTAGTAGGTACTATCTCTGACACTGCCTACTCAATATCGCGGTAAGAAGACCTTCACAGACTTCCCCAGCGGTGAAGGGAATACCTCGTTTTCTTACGCAGAAGAAGAGGAATACAAGGAACAGCGGAAGCGCTCCCAGAAGTCCCCAGTGCGTCCTCTTATTTGGGAGAAATTCTGCAGGTGGTTCTGAAAAAACAGAATTGAGAGATGCTGACTAAAGATAAGGTTTTGCTTGAAAATAGTCAGGAGAATGGCCATTCTTGAAATCTAGTTGGGCTTTAGGGTAATCTTAATTACTAAAAGTCAATGGCCGGTCAAGGCTTGCACACATGAAACCGACTGAATGCTACTCCCGCAAATGGAACCTCCAAGACTGAATTCTACTGCTGCGGATTGACGCTGAAACCTCCAAAGGTTTCGGCCTATCAAACAGAGATGCTAGGGATGACTTGTGTGGCTATCTGGGACCTGTTTAGCATAGTGCCCCAGAAAGTGACTGCAATATTAAACAAGGACCTCGATGAAGTAAGTTCCTTGTGCACTCTTTAATGTAGACACTAACAGCCAACATGGCATGGAAGGCCCACTCTAGAACATGGGCGACCACTGGGCACTGTTAAGCAGCTTCTGCCTTCCACACTTGTGGTCATGATCAAGGACCAGTGTGTGGTTTTTATTCCCCCATGTTTGAAACTCTCTTGGCATTCTAGTCATTGGCTTCTCACGTCAGTGTCTCTGTCTGAAGTTTTGGGAAAGGTAGGTCCCGGGGCACAAGGATGCTTTGGGGTTGCCCACTCCCATCTCTTGTTGTAAGTCAGTTCCTGTTCGTCCCCACTATGAATCAACTGAGATCCACAGTCCTTAACTACACGGTTTATAAGGCCTGTTCACAAATATTGCATTTGCATTTCAAAGTAACAGATGTTAAACCTACCAAATAGTTCTTATAAGAGCAAACAAACCCAAGTTACAGACAAGAAGACAGCGGGGCTAAGTAAGTTACTCCAGGATGCCCCACAAATAAATTGTCATCAAACCGCTTTTGTTGTCTCATTGTGATGATGTTTGCTTGTTTTGTTTCTGCAGCAGAGTCTCTTGTGATCCATGCTGGCTTTGAACTTGCTAAGTATTTGAAGATGACCTTGAACTTCTGAGCCTCTTGCCTCCACCACCCAAGTGTTTGGATCACAGGTGAGCCCTACGTCACCAGGCTTATCTGGTGCTGGGTGTCAGCTCTTTGTGGATGCTAGGCAAGTATTTCCCAGCCTCATAAAACAGCACTGAATGGCAGGAACCCAGTAAGACAGCTTTCATGAGGGAGCCCAACTCAGTTAGCCTTGTTTTTTACACTTGTTTGCTCTTTCTGGTTCCAAGTTCATCCTGAGCTGAATTTTCATATTAGTTGACTTTTCTGCGTAGTTTTATTTCTTTTCTCTAAACTTTCTAGAGCACCACTGTGGATGGACAGTGGAGAGGAGATGAAGCAGAAACAACTCTCCTCAAAATACCTTGGATTTAAGTTCTCCTAACGCTCTGAGCCTCTCACCTGGCTGTCCCCCATCCCACCTATTTCTGTAAGGTAACAAGCTTAAAAAACAGCTGAACTTATACAGGGCAGGATCTCAAAGGATTTCCATACACTACAGCTCATTTTATCTGTACGATAGCCTTGCCAGGTGAGTTACAACCCTTACAGGGCACGTGAACTACACAGAACTCTAGTAGGCTGCCAAAAGACATCAGCCTCATGTTCTATGCACAAGGCAGACTTCCTGGAGTTGAAACATCAGAGAATGTCCTGAATAGCAACACAGGGGGGAAGGATCCTTCATACTGAGAATAACACAAAAGGACAAAGCATTTGTTTCCTACTACAGAAGCCCTGGAGAGAAGACGGCAGCTCTGGCACACATTGAGTCCTTATCTCATGCTCCCATGGTTCCCCAGCTGCGACGGTGTTTCCTACATTGCAGCTGTGCCCTGTTCTCCTGGGGCACGGTGACTTTTGTCCTACTCTTCTGCGAACACTCGATGCCTACCATACAGTTTGTCATGGGCGAATACTCAATCAACCCTTGCTGAATGTTTTTTAAGTAGCGCTATAGCTTGCGTGCAAGAAAAGGAGGAAATAGCGTACATTTAATAAACATAAGGGTTGTTTATTCATGCACTCGGTCAGCTGGCACTGGATGATTAGGACAGACAGCTATCATGCTAGGGGACAAAGGGACAGAGTTAGGCAGTTTACCTGGGATGATCAACTCAGCGGTGTAGTTTTCCCCTGACTGTAATCTCCAAAACGTACAGTAGAAAACATCCTTGGCTGTTGCGTTGATCCTCAGAGTACTGGTCACATTGAAAAACTTCTCTTCTGTCTGGGAAGTGGTGACAGTGGTCTTGCCACTCAGGGACTGGTTGTTACTGTTTGTCCAGATGACTTCAGCTTCTGGGTAGCCCTCAGCCTGACATGTCAGTTCGTGCTCAGACGTGGTTGGATCCATGGAAATTCTGTGGTTGATTTTGTGGTACGGGGCTAGGTCATAAGCAAAAAGAGGTCAGGGCTCTCTCCCACCGCAGGTGCTGTCTGCTTACAAATGCTATCAGCTTGAGCCAGTTCTTGGGGAGCTAGGTCTCCAGCTCAGCTCTGGGGGTGTGTGTTAGTCTGCCTCAGGTTTTCTGTTCAAATCTGGGCCAAGTTTGGGCTTAGGGAACAGTCACATTGCAGGAATAATCACACCGGTGAGCTTATTGGGCTCAGACTAAATGTCTCAAATAAATCAAGTAAATTATCATCTTGAAACCAAAGGTCTTTCTACCTAAATAGAAATTATATCTATTAAATCAATAATCATTGTTCTGCCCTCAATGTTTCAGTGAGCCGTTTAGAGCCTAGGAGAGAGACTTTATTACCTACTCCCAGACAAAGGTATAACAAGAGCGTTGCAACATAGTTTCACGGAAGTTTGATACAGAGCAGCTAAGTATAAGACAAACTGAAACAATGATATGATGTCTTGTTGCCCTTAGTTCAAGAAAATGACCACCAATAAAATCGGTATAATTATGATTTCAAAACACCAAAGGGCTTTTATGAACACTTGAGCCCTTAGTCTCGTATTTGTCATATTTAAGAACAACTAGAAATGAAACCAGTGATTATACCTTATTAAATAGGCACTTCGTGAAATAATGTCACCACAATAGAGTCTATCCCACATTGCACAAGATTTAATTTTTCCGGGAATTAAAGGTTTACACTTGAAATCACTGTCAATGGTAAAACATTCGGAGTGAAACAGTTGCTTTCTATTCTCACTTTTCCTGGGCGTTAGTTGAAGGAGAACATGGTGAACCAAAGGGTTGATTCATCCACACTGATTCAACCCCCAAAAGCTTTTGTCTCTAAGACGGGCACATGCACGAAGACGCAACATTAAAATGTAAGACCTTCTACTGATGTGTTTGCTATAGTACCCGTTAAAGTATTTATGCCTCATAGCCGTTGATGGTAGTCACTGTATGTCACTGTCGGCCACAGGAAGGAGGGTTACTGTGGATTTTTCAAATTCTTCTTTTTTTGCTTGTTTGGTTTTGAGAAAGAGTTTCTTTCATTTTTTTTTTTTTTTGTTTAGTTTTTGTTTTTGTTTTCCGAGACAGGGTTTCTCTGTGTAACAGCCCTAGATGTCCTGGAATTAGCTCTTATAGACCAGGCTAGCCTTGAACTCACAGATTCACCTGCCTCTACTAGGATTAAAGGTGTGTGTCACCATTGCCTGGCTGAGAGTTTCAAGTAGATCAGGCTAGCCTCTTGAACTTGCTATGTAGCGAAAGATAACTCCATCCCTCCTGAATGCTGGAATTACAGGCAAGTGTGTGCCACCACTTCTGGCTTTAAACGAGAACGTCATGAATGGTAGGCAAACACTCTACCAGCTGAACTACAGACCCATCCCCATGTCTACTTTTAACTGAACTGACTTTTTTTTTTAAATGAGCTCATTCAAAAGTCTCCTTTTAGAAACAGAGGTTTGAAGATAAGGCTAACAATTCTACACAAAGCAAAACAAAATGTCAGAAGTGACTTCATCAACCACTTTCTGAAGTTAAAAACAAATACTGAGTTAGATACGATAAAGCATTGGCTAAAATAAGCTTCAAGATTATTGAGGCCATCTCCATTTGTTAACGGTGAATTTCATCATAATATATACCGATGCTGTCACTATTGCAAGACATCACAAATACTGTTTATTCCATTTAGTTCTCCTTTGGATGTCTATTTTTGTCCATTTCAAGAATAGATCATGAATTATGTTGAGCCAACTATATGAAATCAATGACAGCTATCTTCTTTTGATCTTCAAAATGACAACTTCTTATGAAATAAACTATGTGTTGGTGCCAATTTTACATTTTATAATCACATACAAGTTTATGGTGCTTTACAGAAAGGCTAGACAAGCAAGTTTTGTTTTGTTTGTTTTGAAAACTCTGGCTCAGATCTACAACACTCCACTACCTAGTTGGCTGATCAAGACCAAGCAAAGTTCAGTTTAGTTTAAAGTCATTGTACAGTTTGATGTACACTCCAGAGGCCCAAAGCTAGGCAGCAAAGCACAGTTAACAAGGACACAGATTTCAGAAACGAGCTAGTTAGGTTTAGGACCTGGCTTTATAATTTTAGATGCATTATTTCTTTGGCTACATATCATTGAATCTAAGATGCCATCCATTGAAAGACACGTTCAGATTTGAAAGATAGTAAGTAGGGGGGAAAAAAAAACCCAGCATGGCCATGATCAAGGGTCTCCTCCACGGAGTCGTGTTAAAGATTAGATGAATTCATAGGAGCGAAAAGCCCAGACTCATGACCCAACATGTGTTAGGAGTTGCATAAGCATTGTGCAACCGCTCCTGCTACCACCAGTCAGACGAGGAGGACCAGGAACACAGCTGTTCCTCCGCTTTCCATCACTGCTTCAGTGGGTCTTCAGGAAGTTCTTACAGCTCTTGGAAAACAGTCTTGGCAATCAATTTTCCCTTACTCAAGTCTGTTCAGAGAGCAAACACCTTAAGCTAATGGTTTTTGAAACAACCATTTCTTCCTTCAACAAATATTATTCTCTTTTTTTGTTACACAGGAACATCGTCATATGCCAAGGCGTAGAGGCCCAACAATGAATAAAACAGACCCAACCCCTGCCTCTCCCGTTTGTGTTCTAGACGAAGGAAAGAGAGAATAAACATGATATTCTGAGACATATCAGATGGGGATAGATGACAGAGAAAAGATTTAAACAGGACTTGGGGGTCTGGTGGGCCCTAATCATCTCTCCATATCATTAAAATGTTTCCTACAGCTGTCATTTAAGGTCCCAGAAACATTAAATGAACATTTACTTTTTTCTGATATTAATTTCAGTGATTAAAGCTAAAGATTTCAATTGAAAGCCGAATACCTAAGGGTCTTCTGTGACCTTTTGAAAGTATAATAGCACCCGAAGAGAACATGGCAATTGAGTTAATACAAAACTACAGCCTTTCACATTTCAGTTTTGAAATGCTTCACCTTTAAAATCCCAGGGTGAGTGCCCACCCTCCCAGGGAGCTTTACTGCCACGCACTTGCAGTGATGGGAAGAGAAAAGGGGCAGCAGCCTTACTGTGAAATCATTTGCATGGGGGATGACTCAGGAGTTCTACTTCCTCTGCATGCAAAGCACCTATGTGCCAGCCACCAAGGTGCTAGGGATGGAACCCAGGGTTCCGCACACGCTGGGCAAGCATTCTACCGCTGAGCTATGTCCTATGTCCTCAGCCCTGTTCCTATTCTTAATCTTTTTTGTTTGCTTGTTTGAGAAAGGGTCTTGCTAAGTTTCTCAGGCTGACCTTGAACATGATGTGTGTGTGTGTGTGTGTGTGTGTGTGTATCCCAGACAAGGGGTATATATCCCATATATATGTACATATGTGTGTGTATGTATGTATGTATGTATACACACATATATTCCAGACAAGGCCCTATTTTGCCCTATTTTGTGATTCTCCTGTTTCAGCCGCTCAAATAGCTGGATTTGAGCCCAGACACCCACCAAAGCCACAAAGCCCAGGTTCAAATCCTTGGTCTAGCTCATCTAAGCTCCCAAACCACTGGCTGCAAATGACAAGATGAGATGGGAATAGAACGCCAAGGTAGCGATGTCTAAGAGAAAATGAAACGTTCACACAAGCAGACCTTCAAGTTTGCTTGGTCATCAGCTTTGCCCCGTTAAATCTTCCTCCACAGAGAAGGAGATCCATCAGTTCCAGAAGGTTGCCTTTTGCCTCAGAGATTTTGTGGAGTGGATAATCTAGAAGACAGGCTTCCTCACCACAAAGTCAGCTACTCCCAACAAGCCACAAGGGACGTCTGGACACAGAGACTTAAACTCTGGACACAGAGACTTAAATTCTTCCTGACTGCTGGGATTGTTCTTTTGCCTTACCTCAGGTTCAGCAACCTTAACTGATCATGACCTTCAGGCTTCATAATGCCTTTAAATGTCTTGGAACAAAATAGACACCTCATATCTGCTGATGAGCTAACACGTGCTCAAGATATGAACAATCACATCCCTTCATTCATGGATGTCACAAAAGACAATGAAAATAAAGACAAGTGATGTTTTCATAACAATGGTAGCTTTAAGAGATCCAGCATCAGAGACCCATTCATATGCCATCAGTTGGACACATTATCCTAACTTCTACGTAACATTTTAGGGAATAGTTATCTTGATGTCTTATAAAAGTGTGAACTTTTCCTATTTTTTTCATAATTCTGACCTTCACACTAATTTAGGAATAAAAAGATTCCAGGAGACTATCTAATTCTAGTCAAATGTTTAACAGCTTATTATGAAAACCAAAAGAAGCAGGCAGATCATCTCAAACATACGCCTGGGGAAGAGAGAGTTCAGCTCACTATCAATCAGGGAGAAGTTTTGGCAGACCATGGAAGGGGGTTCCAAATTGAAAGGACGCCACTTTGGGAAGTATATGAAGCAAGAAGCTTTGGGGAAATTCTGGTCCTGGCAGGCATTTGGACTGCCTGTGTGAACGCTAGGGAGGGGTGCATGCAACTCTCAGTTCTATGAAACCCAACAGCGAAAGCAGGGGTGGTTAGTAAGGTAATTTCCTTCCCTTAGCTAGTTCCAATCGAGAACCTTAAACTCAAGTGACCTGATGATATTTTCTGGGAGTCCTTTTCCAGGAACTTATACCGGTAGTGCCTTCTCAATGTCTCCAAGTGACCCTGTTACAAGCCCTGGATGTAAGACTGGTGAGCATGGCTTGTACCATCTCTGTGGAAGAATGGCTTTTTCCGTACTTAACATCTTCCTTCATAGATTAACCTTGTCTTTTTGAATGTGAATCTTACAGCAAGCTGTGTGTGTGTGTGTGTGTGTGTGTGTGTGTGTGTGTGTATGTGTGTGTGTGTACATATAAACATATATATTGGATTTTGTTTGGAGATACTCAAAGGAAGAAAAATGTGCTAAGCTTGATAGAATTTTTAAAAAAAAATCCAATAAAAAGGTTCTGGAGGGATACACAAATAGTATATGCATGCCATGGATAATGGTACTGAAGGGAGGAAGGGCATTTTTATGATTCTATTCCTTTCCATGATATCCAAATTATTGATAAGTGTATATATTGCATTTCCATTTCCAATAATAAGAAGCAAACACCTGGCACCTAACCTTTGAAAGCTCACAGTGCTGCAGAGCACAGTTGTGCATTATCTGGTACTGGATCTCAAGTTACTCTCAAACACGAGATGCTAGGAGTATTCAATGGTGGAAAGTATGAATGAATCAGTCAACCAATGAATGGACGAACAGGCTGCTATCGTTCTGTGAAAAGTAGGTGTGGATTTCCAACAATGAAAAGCTCTCAGCATTACAGAGGTATCTTAAACATAGGTCAAGACCTCCTCCTCGGGAGGAATTCTTACCATTGACTTTCAGTGTGATCCGCTTGTAATCTGCGCCGCCATAGCTGATCATGCAACAGTAAACACCGGCGTCCCGCAGCTTCACGTCCGCGATGTGAAGCCCAGCATTTCCCTTTAAAATCTGTTCCTTTGGCAACGAGGCTCTCCCCTGGAAGCTACTATCTTGCTGGTCTGTCTCTCCATCTACAAATTGAATAACTGGACGGTCTTCCTTCTCCCAGTAGACAACTAAGGCGAGCAGGTCCAGTTGGTGTTCTACCGGGAATCTGCATTCAATCGTGACATTGCTGCCATGTTCTACCACGTACAGGTCCTTGGGAGCCGTGATGGTGAATGCTGAAAAGAAAGCGGACCGGCCTTCAGAAGACAGAAAAGTCCTCCAAACACATTTGGAAAATGGGTAAAAGGTTACAATCACTTTATTTGTTGAATTGCGTGAACACTAAAAGTCTTCTTTAAAATATCTTCACTGGGAAGAGCACAAGCAACTTAGATAGTATAGTCCCAGCCTTGTTTATAAGAAATCAATAAATACAAATATCTTATCAGTGGGCCATTTCCCAGGGATCTTTAGGAGCTGTCCATGGGAAATGAACAATCTTTTTGTTTTGTAGTAACTATATTTTTATATTCACCCCCCCCGCAAGTCTTTGTATTTTTTTTTAATTTTTTTATGTTTGCTTTTGTTTGGCTTCAGTGCTGGGATATGGAATCCAGAGCTTTGTTTATGCTGGGCAAGTGTTCCACCACTAAATTCTACCTACAGCTCCTGTATTTTCCTTCATCTTTTCCAGTGATACAAGCAACTTATTTACGAAGAAGGAAAACTAGAGTGTGCTTTTAATAAGCAGAATACACTCCCTTAAACTATTTGGGGGACTTGGGTGACCGTCCAGCAAGTAAGCTACTTGCTATGTAACATGAGGATCCGAGTTCATTCCAAAACCTATGTTAAAAGCCAGCTATAACAGAATGTACCTGCGATCTTAATTTCAGTTCTCCTATAGTGGGATGGGAGGTAGAGACAGGAGAATCCCCAGAAGGTTTGAGGCCATCTGCCTGCAGTCCTCAGCAATGAACAACAAATAAGAGAACTTGTCTCACACAAGGTAGAAGATGAGGGCCAACACTCAAGGTTGCCCTTTGACCTCCACATGTGTGCCTAGCAAATGCATGTGTGCATTCGCCCCCACCACACACACTTCATATACATACACACACAAATTATTTCAATTTTTAACTCAAGGTTACAATGCCAAAAATGCAGAACCCACTGAAAAGATTTGGAGACTTACCTCTTAGCAAGTGACAGCAGACTGTGAATGTGGCAATGGTAAATATTCTCATGCTTCTGGAATTATCTAGAAACGGGAAACACAGGAGTGCTGCTTAAGTAAAATAGCCAAACAGTGTGCCATCGGTAGAAGATCTGTCCTTCTCATATAGAAATAACCCCCAAGAGCCAGGATGGAACGCACAGAGAAGCCAGCAGGAACCAAGCACACTCTGTGAGTGTGGAGACAACTGCAAAGCTGAAAGGTCAGTACTTTCCTTTCGTACTGAGGAAAGGCTCTATGGAACCAATTTCAACCAGAAGAGAAATTAGTCTGGTAAGACGAACATCTTCACATTGAGTATAAGCCCTCCAAATCGATAATGTACATTCAAAATAGGCCAAAGGAAAAATACCTCCCCAATACCTCCTGCTGCACCACGCTTTTCAACATTGAGAATTATCTGTAAAGTCTGCCTTAGGCAAAGCTTCAAAGCAAAGAAAATCTGATTTTCACTTTCACTTTTCAATGCTTAAATTGAATTTGAAATCTTAAAATCTTAAAAATCTCCCCTCTGCCTCTTACCTACTGCAAATTATAATTCTTCTTCCCAATAAAGAGGGTAAGTATACCAATAACAGGAGTGGGAAGGGAGGAGAACTCAATTTGGCCCGTTTACTAAGGCCTGGATGCCTCAGGACCACTCTCTGAGATGTAACTGTCTAGATCCTGGTCTCTATTCTGCTGACATTTTTCGAATTCACTCAGGAAACACTGAATATCTCTTCTTGAGTCTGGCACTGTTTGGGGCACTGAAGGAGCAGTGAGCAAGAAACAGAAGACATTCTTCCTTGGAACTGATGTCCAAAAAGGGTGGCCAAAGACAGTTAGTACTACACCCCAGCCAATCTCTTCGTTAACATCTTCTCTCTTCTGTGTTACTCACATTTACAGCTTCCATAGGAAGGTCAGTTCTCCTTCCTAGCGTCTCCTTGGCCTTTATGTCTACACACAATCTATTTGACAGGCATATAAAGTAGAAGACTAGGGCTGTGGGCATTCACTCTCTACAACTCAGTAAGAAAACTATACGTGGGTTGGAAGGAAAATAAGCAAAAGTCCTACATAGTTCAGAGAATAATAAATAGAGACATAGGAAAGGACGCTCTTTCTAAGAAAGTATATTGAAGACTTATGATAACATTTTTGACCTTTTGCTCTTCCAAAATTATAGCTTCCTCATAGTTAGTGTTAGTGAAATACAGGTAGACGGGATTTCTGGACTTTCATTGCAAAGGATGTGAAACTCTTTGTACACCTTTTTAAAGATCTGTTGTGGTAATCTCTGTTAAAACTTTAACTGTGTATGTCATATGATCTCTTTTGCCCTGTCTTAGAAATCCACCGTAGGAAGACAAATAAACACAGATATAGCAGAGATGACATGGCTAACAATGGCCCCAGACTTGAAACACCCCATGTAGCCTAAAGGCGAATAAACCTGTATATACTCCGAAGACCATGAGGGGCAGAATTTAGTACATGCATAGGGAATGAGTTTGCAGAGTCATAGGAAGGAACTTGGAGGGCAGTGTATAATGCAAAATATACTTGTGGTTTAAAGAAACCCTCAAGCCCGTCTGAAGATACTGCCTGACCATGGTTATCTGCAGTAAAACGTGACTTTTACAGGGAACACAGGCAATGTGTTTGTAATTTTAAAGGAAGAAAGACAGAAAAGGAAAGATGGAACCATGAATGGTTTCTTTGTCCTTCATGTGTGCACCCAACTTTCAAATGAGTGAATAAACGAATTCTTTACTTTTATGGTTAGAATAAAATGAATGATTTCACCTACCAAACTTCCAAGTGTTTGGCAGATGAAGTGATGGAATGGCAAAGACCCTGACCCTGGAAAGGGAGTCTAGACATCTTCACTGATGCGAAATGACCACATCAGTTTATTTTAATGCTCTGCCATTGTTAGAGAAACTACTGTTGAGTCCATCACATACACTCCCTTCAGGGAGCATTTGGTAATATTGGCTAACAGGTTTGGCTGCCAAAGTTGGCTTGGGAAGGAGGAGAGCTGCTTCTGATGTAATGATATAGAGGCCCGAAGGCTGCCAGGACCTCTCCCAAGACATGGGACAGCACCTGACAGCAGAAACAGAGCTGGCCCACAGAGCCAAGGGTGAAAGACGGAGAAACTGTGGCCACTCTGAGCGTGTCTGTAGATAGTTTCCTTTCCGCCTTTTCCCCTACAATGAGACAGCTTTCCTCTACATGTTTAAGATTGATTCATTTCATGTGTAGGAATGTTTTGCCTGTTTGTATGTATGCATACCACATGTGTACCTGGTGCCCACAGAGACCAAAAGAGGACATCAGATTCCCTGGAAAGAGAGTTACAAGGGGCTGTGGGTCCCCCAAGAAGAGCAGTAAGGGCTTTAAACCCCTGAGCCATCTCTGTAGCCCCAGTTCTTCTATACATTTACTATCCATGTTACAGTGTAAGATTGTAAAAAAAAAACAGTGTAAGATTGTAACATAATTTCTGTAAGTCTTGTATCCAATGGGCCCTTAATATTTAACTCCTTTAATGCTAGGTGTTGGGGTGTTTTTTTTTTTTTTTGGTCCTTTTTTCAAAATCCTAAGTACTTGTGTATTTAGCCAATGTTTAATGAGTACCTATTGGGTGCCAAGTCCAAGGTTAGGCCTGGAAGATAGATTTCCCTAATGAGAATTGCTGATCAAGGGAGAAAGTACTTTCCCAATTCGTGACACATTCTGAAAATTGGTACCATTGCATCTTCCCGCCATGCCGACATTATTTTTTTTAACTTTTTTTCTAATTCAATTCTTGAAAAATGCAGCTTGAATTTTTTTTTGAAGAAATGTTAAGTTCATGCTAATTATCTGATCAATTATTTTGTCTCTTAAGGTCATAGGCTTCTTACTGACTATTATAAACCCTTGAGGTTAGGAAAGGGCAGGATGTAACAGCAGCTGAGAGGCTGAGACAGGAGGATCTTGAGTTTGAGGTCAGCCTGGGCTACATTGTGAGACACTGTCTTTAAAAAGGGGGGGACATTTATCAGAAGACCAAAATAGAATGATTCATTGTCCTCTTGCTAACACTGGGCACATATTTAAAATCTTTCTCTCCAGTCATCTGCCCAAGAAGATGAGACAAGATGACATACCGAAGGATGCTGGGTTAGGTCTGATATTCACCTAATTCAGTACCATACCCTCTCTTCCCTGGCTCTCAGAGCACAGCTGTCAGCTGTTGGTGAGGGGTGGAGGAGAGGAAGTCCAGGGGCGGCGTAAATAAGTGTGGTTTTGACCTCTGAGCCAGCACCTCTTAGTTGGTCTAAGAACATAGGATCATCTTCTTCCTCGGGCAAGAAACTGTACTCTTTGATGAATTCCCAGCCGAGAGCACAGACAGGGCACCAAAGTATGAACAGTGGAAGAAATGACAGCTCATTCAAGATGGGGAAATAAGTTTGTCCCCGGGAAGTCCAGAAGAGCACCCTGGAGCACAGCTTCTCTGTCTTCCCACGGGGCAGGAGGGGAGCAGCCGCAAGCTTCCTTTCTCACAAGTAAGAGTGAAGATTTACCGAAGTTTCTAATTCTATCAAATGATCCTAAAACCTGAACTCCTTCCCTCTCATTCCCACTTCAAGACTGTAACTGCTGCCATGACCTCCTGTCTACGCTGTTCAGCTGGAAAAGGCTAATATTTTCAGAGTATAAAGTTCTCCCTAAATACTGCCAGTCACTGTCATTGTCAGCTGCATATACTTTCTGGAACGCATCTTCAGTTTATTTTTTCCATATAAAGGTCTTTCAGATACCCAGACATAACCAGGTAGCTTTAAGAGTTTATCTAAAGGAAATACCCAGCTATATATAAGCACATAGTGATGGTCAGTGAACGACTGAGCTAGTAACCCGCTATAAATAACCTGTGCATCTATCAGTGATGCCTTTAGTTATCCAGCACAATGGAATACAGCAATAAAAAACTGGCTATTTAATTAATAGGAGAGCATCCGCAATCATTTACTCAGATTAAAAATAAGTAAGATAGAACACTGTACTTAGAATAACCCCAAGCTAAACCTTGATATTGCCAAGGTCCATGTGTCTAAGAAATGACTGGGCATTTTTATGTTAAGTTCTTCTGCTCCTCTTCCAAGACTCCTTTAGGTCCTCTGGGCAGATAGAGTAAAAGTCTTAGGCTCCAGCATCCTGAATCTTGGCAGAGTTAAGGGACCGCAGGAGATGCTTCAAGTGGGACGACTTACCCAGTCATTGCTAATGAACAATCAAAGCCGCGAACTCCTCTGACCCAGCTACCTACCCCAAGAACGGATTCATAAACACATTAACGCGGATTCATTAACGCTAACGGTACCTTGTCACCAGACAGATTCTGAGGTCTTAGCCGTGCAGGGCTCTACTGCCTTTTAACCCATCGTGTTTCCCTGTTGCCTTCTCTCTCCATCCTTAAAAGGTCTAGGACTCTGGCTCTAATGTGCCCTGGAAGCCGCGGTCCCGGGACTCGGCGTGAAGACGCTCCCTACCTGTAGGCGGGGAGACAGGCGGCGACCTGCAGGTGCAGTGTGACTTGTGTGGCCCGACGCCAGCAAGTCCCCCAACCTTATAGCTCAGGCCCCGCCCACTCAGGGCGGGGCGGGAACCCTGAGCACCTCCGCCCCGAAACCGAAATTCCGAGCCGCTCTCGAAGAGCCTATCCTTCTGGAATTCCTGCTGAAGGCTTCAGGGTCAACTTTGGGATAAGATATTGAATTTATAGAAAAACGAACTAGGGTCCGGCGTGGTGACGCACGCCTTAAATCCCAGTACTCCGGAGACAGAGGCAGGTGGATCTCTATGAATTGGAGGCCGGCCTGGTCTACACAGCGAGCTCCAGGACAACCAGGGCTGCAATAGTGAGACCCTATCGCGAGAAAGAAAGAAAAAAAAGCAAACAGAAAACTATTTTTTAAAAAAACGAAACTAAAAGTGAAAGTGAAACTTGCCTTCGCTTTCTTGTAAATCAGGTTTCCTAAAAGAACCGCTTGTGAATCAACAACTATGAGCTGTTATTTGGGTGGCGGCGGGAGGGGAGGGGTAGGGATAGGAAGTGGGGGGTACCTGTTAAGGTCAGAGATCCACCCTAGGTTGTCTTCCTCTACACCCCCCCCCACCTTGTTCTTTGAGAGAGGGTCTCTTTGATCCAACTTCGCATTTGCAGCTGAATAGACTCACCGGCCAGTGTGCTCGAGGGATCTCCGCCCCTCCCCCCACCACACCATCTCACTCCGGGGTTCGGTCTCTTATTTGTGGGTGCTGGACACCCGAGTTTAAATCTTCCGTACTTGAGCAGTAAGCGCCTTAAAAACAAAACATCTCAAGTCATAAGATCTCAGACCTCAATTTTATCTTCAAAATCCAAATACCTTAATTACTGTCTGATTCCCCACCCCTTTCAAGCCCTTTCTGGATTTGTGACCATCTTGACGTAACTTTACGTACAGAGTTACACAGCATAAAGAGTTAACAACAGAACGAATCTTGGGTTTTAATTCTAGAAAGTAGGTGTGTCTATATAATAGGAAACATATTTTTAAATCGTGGATTTGGTAACTTCCTCAAAGTTCCTCGACATAGTGAAACTTAAGCTGTCTTGCCATTCAAGAACTTGCCATGTCAAGCCATGCCCTTTATGAATCTACTTCACTGCGCTCTCGGGATCCAGGTGGGGGAAGTCTAGTCTAGGTAAAGTTGAGAAAGCTCTTCTGGGAACTGGAAATGTGGGCTTTTTCCAAGACGAAACAATGGGAACTCCATGGAGTATTGTGTCATTTAAGCCTCTCACTGTTGGACCTCAAGGGCCTTCTTCACGGTTTGCTTTTCCCAGTTATTCACTAAAACTACAATTCTAAAGCAGTGCACTCAGAGATTATCGGGGTGCCCACTGGCTTGGCTGTAACCGGATTTCCAGGTTCTCAAAGCATCTCTAGTCTCTGAAGATGGTGGAGGATCTATAGAGAAAGTGGAACTCATCAATAAAATTGGAACAGACTTTGAAGCCTCAGCTGAGCTTCTACTCCCTCTTCCAGATGTCTTCTGAACCCTAATAGTGGAATAAAGTAGTTTCCTCAACTTTAGTGACTGACTAAAAATAAAAAATAGACTTTATATGTAGAAATCCAATTTAAACATATATATATATATATATATATATATATATGTACACAACCACAGACAAACACATTTCTAGTTAACAGTTCTTCTCTCTATAAACAATAGCCAAGTCCCAGGGCACATTTATGATACGTTAGTGTAGTCTTACAAAAACTCAGGCCTATAGAAATTCACTCTAGAGACTCACTATTTAGCTGAGTTCTTTAGCTAAATGATGATTTGACAAGTGAGGATTAAGTCATAGTCCCTGAGTAGTTTCTTACCACGTGAATCATTTTTAAAACGACAAAGGGGAGGTGTTTTGTTTTTGTTTGTTTTACAAAAGCATTGATGAGGTGGATGTGCAGAGTCAACAGAGAAGGCCGGAGGTAACTGGAACTCACCCTCCTCCAGAGCCACCCCTGGGAACTGCAGAAGGCTCAACCTGCTGCTCGTACTGATTTGCATGTGAGTCGTCCCCAAAAGTCCCCTCACCTCTCCACCTGCCCCACACCTCAGACACTCATTTTCCCATGAAGAGCTCACGCTCTTTAATGAATTTGGTATCCTCCAGAAGGAGAAAAACAGGACGTAATTTTAATTTTAAAAAATTATTTTATCGTTTCAAAACCTATTGAATAAGCCAAAATAACCTAAGTAAGGGAGAAACAGCCCGGAAAGTGATATCAGTTTCCTGATTTGGACAAAATAAAGAGAAACATTCAGACAAGAGAAAACCAGTGGCTAGCAAAGACTGAATAGTAGAACACGGTGGCCATCTCTCATGTCTCCATTTCCTGTTCCTGTCTCATCTACCCTGTTCATCTGGGGCAGACAAAAACCTCCTTACCGCTCATGTTCTGCTTAGTTGACGATGAAGACTAACCACCGATGGTGAGGAAATGCACAAAGTGAATTCTGGAGAGAACCATGAGCCACCTGCAGGAGGGACAGGCTCAACAGACAGAGGAACCGGTGTGTGCTGTGAAGGTGAGGAGTCTGGTGAATTCTGGGAGCGAGCATTGCTGTGGCTGGAGTCTAAACTGAAAGGTTGGCGCTCGTCCAGGGAAGGGTCTGGAAGGTTGAGGAGGAAGGCTGGATTCTGGTTGTATGCACATCCATGGGATAGCTTCAGCCAGAGGAGTCTATGATGGTGTTCTACAGACAGCACGCTAGCCAGCTGAAGAAGGCAGGCTGAGGAGCCTGTGTTCACGGAAGCCAGGAGCTTTGAGGAGACGGCGTTATACTTCAATTCAATTCCAACACTACCTGTGGAGAACAAAAGTCGCACCCCACATGTCAAAGGGGGAGCCCCACAGGATGGACCCTATGGCAGATGCCAATCTTCAGTCTAGGCATCTAGAGCTTCTGATGGTCTAGCGATGAATTAGGATTTCCATGGCTCCCTCTGGTTTGCTGAATTAAAGTAACTTACAAACTGGGAGAAACGTTTACCTGTGAGAATCAGTTTATTGTAAAGGCCATCACCACTGATAGAGAAAGAGTACACAGGGCAAAGTATGGTCAGGTGGGAGCTGGAGGGGGCTTCCGTGCTTCCCCTTGGGTCCACTACCCTCTAGGACCCTTCAGATGGTCTGCAGCCCAGCTGCTTGAAGCTCTAGCTCAGAGAATTTTCACAGAGACTTCATCAGCGATCAGTTCAGCTTCCAGCCCTTCTCCCTTCTGTGGAGGACAGGAATTGGGGCTGAAAGTGTCAGACTCTCTCTGCCCACAGTCTGGTCATTCTGGTGACAAGGTCAAAACCAGGAACTCGCCAAGAGTCACTTCACTGGAACCAAGGACATGTCCATCCCTCAGGAAATTCCAAAGAATTAGTAGCTCTGTGGGTCATATTTCAGAACAAAAGATTATCGAGCACCCTTATTAATCAGACAATTATAACTGGTTTCTAAGAATTGTATGCCAGAGAGTGGAATGGAAACCAAACACACACACACACACATATATACATACATACCTATATGTATATTCATATGTATGTATATATGTGTGTGTGTGTGTGTGTGTGTGTGTGTCTCAGGATATCACATGTAATCGGGCAGACCATTTTATTTTACTTTTTAAATTTTGTTGACTTTATATGCATGGGTGTTTGGTCTGCATATATGTGTGTGCTGCAGAAGGCTGTCAGCCCTTCTGGGACCAGAGTGACAGATAGTTATAAGTTGCCATATGGGAGCTAGGAACCAAACCTTGGTCCTTTGGAAGAGCAACCAGTGCCCTTAACTGGATGAGCTATCTCTCCAGCTGTCATTCTTAGAGTTCAGAGACTATTTTCTGGGGGAGAAGGAGAAAAAAAGGGGAGGAGGTGGTGGTGGTTCTCAGAGGAGGGGACCAGGCTGCAGGTCTTGGGACAGGAGGCTGAGATGGACAGGTTGAGAACAGGGTCATGTGAATTGCACGGGTTCCAGAAGGGGAAGTTAGCAGGGGTTTAGTCAAATGTTACTGTGACGTCACAGCTGAAAAGCACCCAAAAGGAGAATCATCTATGAGCTTCCTGCTCAGCCTCGGTACAGAGTATTTACATACAGCTGAGGGAGAAGAGAGGCCACGCCCGTATCAATCTTCCCTCGCGCGTCCCCAGTCAGGCTTGTGACTCTTGGGATGCTATGCGATGCTTCGAGTGAAACACGTGAAGCCTCCTCTGACTCAGGTTACACTCTGAGCTGTGACGGCCCCTGCTCAGAACAGCTTTCCTCGACTTTCTGCCCCCTCTTCCACCTCTGTCCTCTTCAGTTACTGCATTTCAGTGACTAACCTTGACAAGCTGAGCATCATCTAAAAAAAAAAAGCTATCAGATTAATGAGATGAAATTGATTCATAAGATGCCACAATCACATGATTAGAAGTATCAGTGATCGTAAAACAGGCAGTATTTCAAAATGTCAGACTCTCGTCTACATACGAGACTACCCAACTTGGAGAACAGTCCTAGGAGCTTTACTTCCTGAAGTTGGCTCTTCTGTACAGGTGCTGAAATGGAGACCTACAGCTCATGTACCGCGACATGGAAAACGATACAAGTGGGATTCGAACCCGGAACTCTGGCTCTGGGGTCTGCTACCCAGAGAACACCAGTGAAACGAGTGTCCTTATCTATTGCCATCAGGCTGTAAGCACACTGAATGCTCTTCAGTCCACTCGAACTCTGACTTACTGTATGTCCCAGCAATTCTACCCCTACAAATACACCCAAGATAACTTAAAATATGTTCACAAAACTAACAATGTTTTTCATAAGAGGCCAAAATAGAACCATCCAAAAGCCCATCGTTTCTGAACGAACACACAAAATGTGCTATATCCATATATTGGGCTATTACTTAGCCCCAGCAAGAAGTGGAGCAATGATTCATGCTATAATTTATTTGTCTAATTTTTGTTTCAAATTTATTGTGTGTGTGTGTGTGTAAGTGTGTGCATGTGTGTGTGTGCGTGTGTACGTGTGTGTGTATGTGTGTGCGTGTGTGTGTGTGTGTGTGTGTGTGTGTACAAGTGCACACTCACGAATGGAACACCTATGGATGTCAAAGGACAATTTGCAACGATGGGTTCTTCTCTCTCACATGTGAATCCCAGGGGTAGAACTGGGTGTCAGGGCGGCAAGTCCATCAACCCACTGACCCATCTCACCAGTCCCACGAACACGGAAAATAGTGTCAAAGAAGCCGGTAAAAGCCATTTTGTTTACATGAACTGTCCAGAATAATCAAGTCTTTGAAAAGGTAGAAAATAAATTAAGATGGATTCTGCAGTTTACCTGCATGTGACATCATCCATAAAGATAGGTTCTATAGATTGACTGAGCAGAACAAGCTCATGATAGGGGTCTGGGGGAGGATCTGATGTGGTCTCAGTGACACAGATAAAACAAAGGTCACCAGGCTATTAACTACCTCCTCCGCTCCCAGCCTCTGGGCAGGAAACGGCTTATACATCTCTGCTTTGAAGATACAACCCTGCCTGCTTAAACCTCTCTGGTTCCTGTCAGGCATTCTTGCCTAAGGACCAGCTCTCACCTTAGTAACCACCCTCTCTTCCTGGGCCCTTCCAGACAAGAGGTGACAGAAGCTCCCACTGTTGCCGGCTATGAGCTATTGAACGCTATCCAAGAACTGAACACCTTGCCTGCATCTAAGTCTGTTATCTCATTCCGCACTTACTATGCAATAATCAGATGGCTTCAGTCCTAACTGCAGACCGGAAGGAATCAAGGCATGGTTTGTCTACACGCACAAACGTTATCAGGGATCTGCTGCTCAGCATCCCTTCAAAAGATTTTAGTCTTGGTAGTACACCTGCTCCCACAAACAGAAAGAAAAATATTGTTGCAATTTTCCTATCTGGCTACTGAACAAATCATGTTTGAAATGGAGAATCTAGAAGAGTCTAGAAGTCAGACTACAGAGAACTGAAGTCGAGGGCATCTACACAAGCCTGGGAGGTCTGGGCCTGGAAGAGGTTAGATGCCTTCTCTAAGGTGTGGTGTCAGCCAAGGTCAAGGCAGAGGGCTCTTTCTAAAGAGCCTGTGAGGCACTCGCTATTTCCACAAACCCTTGGGTAGCGAGGGTAAGAATGCTAATGGGTCCTCGGGTGTTTCTTCAGAGGTTGGAGAGCCTTACTCCAGACATTGCTGGCAGGAGTACGTAATATGGGAAGGGCAAAAGGTAACATGGAAATTCTGATCACTGTTTTACTTTTGTTTCCTGTTTACCTTTAAGCCATTTGATGGCGGCATTTTTGCAGGGTCGGGACTCAGAGGACTTAGGTGGCATTTCCATGCTGCTTCCTTGACTTTCCCTCAAAGTCATCCAATAGCTGCAGGACGCAATTTGCGACTCTGACCCGCCCCACCCACCTCTCGAGGCGCCGGCGCCGGCGCCGGCACCGGAAGGACACCCCAGGCCTCGGGAACCCGAGCCCTTAAAAGATCCAAAGGCCACGCTGATTGGTTGAAAAGCTCAACCCGCTGTCATAATCAGCCAATCCCCTAGGCTCTGGCAAGCAAAGCACAGTCCTGCCCTGATCGATCAAGGAGCTCTGGCTAGGGGCCTCCGCTGTTGTCACCGTCCCAGCACCGTGTCGCGTGAGTGCATCTGCATCTGACCGCAGGGAGGGAGGGTTGGTTCGGCTGCCAGGCCCCTGCTGTAGCTCCAGTTGGGGCAGGAAAGGCCTGGGCTCTGGGTTCTGCTAATGCCCCCGAGGCTGACAGATATTGCCAATCCGGCCCTGTGAGCGAGAGTGAGCTCTCCGTAGCATTGTCACCAAGTTGGTAAAAGTCTACAGAGCGCGGTGGACAGGGACATGGTGTAACTCTAGGCGAAATACCTAAATGACAGGAAACTGGCTCTCAGGGCCAGAGTGGAAACAATGACAGGAAACACCCCCAGAGACTGCGTGCTTCCAGCTTAAGTTTGCTAGGGACTATAGTTTGGAAGATTTATTGAGAATGATTGTGATGTTGTGACCAATTTAGTTAATAAAGCAGGGCAGAAATCTGGATGACAGAAGTCACGAATTCTTTCTCTTTCCAAATCAAATCTTGGTTCCCAGGGCCACCAGAGAAAATCTGTCTGGGATTTTTGCAATCAACATTCCCCCAGAAACACATCTTTCCACAGTAATTTGAATCATGGCTGGCAAGCTGGAGCAATAATACGCCCCCACAAAGCCACCCCCACATCACACTCCTGTTTTCTGTGTTGCCAGTAATAACGTCAATTCGAGGTCACTCTTATTCATTTGTTGATAATATTTTGTCTCTAGGAGAGAAACAATTGAGGTATTTGGAACACCCAAGGGAAGGGGTGCCAATGACTTTGATGGGTATAGGGGAGAAGGAATTGGAAACACTGTTCAAGGTGAAGTTACAAGGCTGGTACACTCATTTGGATGCTGTTCCTGCTTTCCCTCTGTCTTTAGCCCGTCTACCTGAGATTTCCCCGACACAGCCAAAATCCAAGTCCAAGAGTCCAAGGCCTGGAAAGAGGTAAGCCGGAACCCTAGCCTTCCTAAGAGTTTCTCCTCTCTAGAAGATTGACATGAGAATTGTCCCACCACTTCAAGGGAGAGCTCACCCCTTATAAATATGAGTGTGACAAGGGACTGGGATGTGTGTGTGTGTGTGTGTGTGTGTGTGTGTGTGTGTGTAAACCAGAGAACAGTCGAATACTTTGAAGATGTTTGCAGCAGGTATAAAAATTCCACCTTCCACTCCTACATGCAGAAGGCAAACAAGGGATGCCAGGTAGCCTGAGCCAAAGGTTTTCTTGGGTGAAATCATTCCTATTCTGTGCAAGTGTTTGTCAAGTAGAAGCCACAGAGCCTATCAAGATGGCTGACAGTCTTTCCCCTGCAAGCTCAGCTGGAAATGACTCACTTGGGCTGTCACTGCTGAGATAGCAGAGTAATCTGCTAGGTCCCCTGCCCTCACAAGTGTCCTCTGTCTGCTCACGGGGTGCCAAGTGGAACAATGGCTGGCAGGAAGGAATCCTCATGACCTCCCAGGCCTACTTAGGGCTCTGCCCTTCCTTCCCAGTTTGTAGTTCACCCTCTGCCCAGCTCTGCAGCTCATGGGTTCAAGGTCACATAATTCCAGGGTGTGTTCTTTGTCGGAATACACAGAAGTCACTGACCCTCAGCTCCCATTCCTAATAGGGGAACCATTCCAGCTGATGTGAACACACACACACACACACACACACACACATCCTCCTCCCGCTCACTTCCTGCGTTACTCTAGACCCAGATTTCCTGATGAGGAAAAATGTGGAAATAGCTGTTGTCTGGGATCAGAATAGACATAAATCCTGGCTGGAAAGCATGGAGACTGTGGTGTATTCAACAGCCGATAAAACGGCATTGAAGAAAGTGGAGAAGTCGTGGTGTTCCCCTGAGCCTTCCAGTCTTCCGAGAGAGAAACTGATACCTAATGAAAATGTTTGCTGCACAGACTCACTTGGATTTAGAACACAATTCGGAGTTCTGACTCACCTCCAGTTTACAGCCCTCTTAGGTGGTTGTTCCTGACAATAAGATGCAAACTGCAGGTGGTTGATGTGGGTGTGCCTGTGTGGCTCAGGCACTGTTTTTAAGGCATCAATGAGACAAAGGCAACATGCCTTCATAAAAAAAAAAAAAACGAACTTCAAATTTTAATCATTTCAGGGCTAGTAAAACAGATCAACCATTCTGTTTTCAGCTTTACTGTAATACTAAATAAATTATATTGAGCACTTTATTATTAAAAAAAAGATGTCTGTACTTAGCTGTAGGCTACTGTAAGTGTTGTGAGTACATTTAAGGTAAACCACGATGTTCAGTATATTAGGTGTAGTAAATGCATTTTCCCCCATGATATTTCCGACTTACAATGATTTTATTGGGCTGTAAATTCCATTGGAAGGAGAGGAGAAAGTCTACAGTGTGGTCATTTTAAAAACGCATTTCTGGGCGGAGGAGATGGTTTAATGTGTAAAGCACTTGCCATATAATCACAAAGACCTGTGGTGGAAGCTCCCGAATCAACGAAATTCTGCAGTCCCAGGGGTGAGACGTGAGAACCCATGGAAGGCTCCCGGCCAGCTCGTCTGGTGTGCACAGATGAGCAGCAAGTGCAGTAGTCTGTCCCAAACAAGGTGGAAAGCGAAGACCAACACCCGGGGTTATCATGGGTCGTGGTACCTGCAAGAGCGTGTAAGCATCTTCACTTCCCTCCTTTTGAGAGCCTCGGTGGCGTGGAGAGAAGGAGGGCAAGGCTGGGAGGGGAGAGCTAGGGGATACCAGCTGCAAGACGGCGGGAATGAGATGTGTGTCGAAGAGGGATAGGAACGTGAGACCTCAGGAAGAACACTGACACACTGACCGTGAGACATGCCACCCTGAAAGCCCAAGTTCCAGCAGGATAGACCAAAGCACTTCCGCACACACATCCTCAGGTGCAAGGCCTTACTGTCTGCTGCGCAGATGGTAAGAAGGTGGATCGCCTTAGATTTATGGTGGGGAGAAACATGAGGAAACATGGCACCGTGTATTGACAGAGCAAGGAGAGATGGGAAATTATTTCGGTCCACTGGTCTTGCTAAATAAATGATGCCAGCCCGGGTAAGCATGCCTGAGGTTAAACACCTAGAAAGTATCTACACTAGTCTCTAAATCAATGTTTTTCTCTCCTTTTACCTTGTTGATCATAACTTAGGGCATGTGTTAGGGATGCACAGAGTCAGTTATTTAAAACTGCCTTGTGTTTTTATGCTTTAGGTCAAGATGGGGTTTATATTCTCCAAATCTATGAATGAAAACATGAAAAACCAAAAGGAGTTCATGACCATGCAGAGCCAACTTCAGGTACGTGTTAGTTAAGCTGTTATGCTCCAATCACATAGAATTTCTAGAATGGAATGTATAAGTGCTCTTCAAGGTCTCCCCTTGACCCCTAACTAAAATGCTCTTGGGCACCATCCTCAAAGATGAAGTGGACAATTGCCTAGTTGGTGAATGACTCACACCCCCAATCCAGATACTTGTTTCAAAATTTCCACACCACACCCTCAAGGTATCCTGGATTCCTAGAACCTGTGGCTATGTTAGGAATATGATACCTTACACAGAAAGGGGCTTTACTGTGTGTTCCTATAAAGAGGTGCTATTCCGGTTTATCCAGATGGGTTCACTGTATTCTCAGAGTCTTTTTTTTTTTAAGATTTATTTATTTATTACATATACAGTGTTCTGTTTGCATGTATACTTGCAGGCCAGAAGAGGGCACCAGATCTCATTACAGATGTTGTGAGCCACCATGTGGTTGCTGGGAATTGAACTCAGGACCTCTGAAAGAGCAGTCAGTGCTCTTAACCTCTGAGCCATCTCTCCAGCCCTTCCCAGAGCCTTTTTAAGGAGACTCTGTGTGTGTGTGTGTGTGTGTGTGTGTGTGTGTGTGTGTGTGTGTGGTGTGAGGACGGGAGGGAGGGAGAGAGAACTCAAAGCTGTCATATTGCGCTACACATAGAAATCTTAATCGCAAACCCAGACTGAGCAGCCCTCTACCGGCTTTGAAGATGGGAGTCAGGGCCAAAGAGGCAGGCAGCCTCAATAAGTTGAAAAAGACAAAGAAACCAATTCTCCCCTGCTACCTCCAGAGAGACAGAGCCTTGTCGGCACGTTTAGGCCCTTTAACCTCAGATAATAATTTGGTAAAGTGCATTGGGAAACTGCTATAGACTGTACACTTGACCTTGGGTTGTACAGTAGATGTTTAGAAAAAAATCAAAGAGATTGCTGAATTGCCTAATGTGAGTTGTCAAAGTAATTTTAAAACTTTGTAACTCACAGCTGAAAGTTGAGAAATTAGTCCCAAATTGTTTTGCTAAGATTTTAGACAAAGATCATGAAGGTCCTGTAGTCTGTCATGGCTCTAAGAGCAGACAGCACTACTCTTGGGCAGTGCAAATGAGAGGTAAACCAGACTGTGATTGAATCCATATCAACCTGATGGCCTGCAGTCTGTCCTTGGTCTCCCGGTCTGTATCCTAGAGCCAATGCGCCCTCCAGAGAAGCTCCAGGAAGGAAAAATTACACACAGCACATAGAATGTACGCCCTATAGAGTGTATAATATAATGCCTCTTGCTTATATTGCTGTCATTGCTATTAAAATCTTTTTTTTTTTTAAGTTAAGGTCTCATATAGCCCAGGCCAGCTTCAAACCGGTAATGTAGACTAAGAAGGCCTTGAACTTCTTTTTTTGGTCCTCCTGCCTCTGTCTCCTCTGTCTCCTCAGTGCTAGGGTCATAGGTTTATCCACTATACCCAGATGCCATTAAAGACTTGTAAGAGTTTCTGTGTAG